CACACACACACACACACACACACACACACACACACACTGCAAGCAACACAATGTGAGTGGAAAGTTGCCATTATACCTCCTGTTATTTCTCCTCACCTATTGTTGTATTGTTGTGCTCTGTTACAGAGAAATGATCATTTGTATTGCTTACCTATATAAACACAAGCCTACACACACACACACACACACACACACACACACACACACACCAGAGTGGCTGCAACACAATGCTGGGAATAAAAAACTCCGTGCTCAGCAGAGTTAACAATGGAAAAAAAAAACACGCATTTTAGATATCTTTATCGTTTAAGTAAAGTATTTTATGTATTCTTTGATAATTTCATATATATAAACAATGAATCTTGACATATGTTTCTTCAACTTCCCCTCCCATTCCCCCAGGGACCCCCAATGTGTCTCATTACCCCTATTGTGTCCTCAGTTAATAACCCAATTAGTTCTGCCAGTTAAAATGCTGACTGATCTTGGTGACTTGATCTTGCACAGGTAACCATAGCTACAGTGAGTTCATAGGTGCAGTAGCCACGCCGTGTCCCCAGACAGCATTTTACAGTATTCCTGCCCATCTACCAGCTCTCATATTCCTTGTTCACCTCTTCTTCGATGTTCCCTGAGTTGGGTATTCTTTCTCATCACATAGATCTGCTACAAAGTATTTTGTGGCATAAATGTACATTATAGAAAAATATTTAGTCACTATAAATCCAATTAAGATTTTTCTATTTGTTTTGTATATATATTACACTATTAAAGTGGGGTCATTCTTAGCTATGAATCACAAAGCTTATTGTACTGTAATTTTTGTATTGCTATTTTAAAAATAGGAATTGATAAATTTCCTTTCAAATATGTTTGAACGTGCCTAAAAGCCCACATTTGTCAAGTGTATAACAGAAGTTTTGGACTTTGCTGGCCAGGTGTGAAATATCTCAGTGAAGTTTGCTTTGTATAATGGAAGGTCTTTAAAATTTACTATTTTTGCACAGCTGTTGTCTATAAGTTTGTCCTTAGTTTGGGCCAATGAAACCTGATTTTTTTTTTATTCTACATCTAGTGCATTTTGATTCAAAGGCCTATCTAGGCATGCTAATGTGGATTTTTTTGAAAGAAAGGTCAATATTAGAAATGAAAATAGACTTACAATACTTTTTGAAGGTCTAGATTTTAAAGAAATATATTAGGCATGTGGTGTGGGGTGTAGACATTTGCTGCTCTTTTCTGCCTCTTGCTTAAGGGTCACTCTCCAGATCCAAGGAAGCTTACAGTGTCTAGTAGCAGCCACCTCTCTTGATAGAAACACTCAGTCATTCCCTCTCCACTCCAAGATGTGAGTCCTCTTAGTAATATCTGTAGATTAAGGGTGCTCCATTAAAGGGTAGAGTCGCTTGTTTTTGTTCTCAATTCTACATTGCTATGGTCACTTCTGGGGTTGGAGAAGAGGCTACAGTGTTGTCAGGGCTGTAGGAAGATGCAGAATTTGCCTCAGGAGACAGTCTTCTTCCAAGCCCAAAATTAAAAGTAGGATGCGTTTTAAAACCTAATAGAGATGTCGTTCTGCAGCCCTGTGTTCCCTTGACCGAGTTAGAACACAGGTCCTTTCAATCTACTATCTACAGATGAAATTAGCCACCAGGAAAGTAGTGTTGTTAATTACCTACTCCTCTGTCTTCAGATGAGAAACCGCAGGGTGGTTGTGAGTTGGACTAGGGCGGGGGGGCTTTGCCGCAGTCTCTCGACTTCAATCCTTGGCTAGCACCCAGTGATGGAATCCCTGCCCCTCTGGCTGTCCCCTTGACCCTGGGCGCCTTCATTGCGTGCAGCTCCAAGCCCTGGTTGAGCCGAAAACGGAACATATTTTAAGTGCTCAGTGACCAGGGAATGTGACGTCACGAAAAAAAACAAAAACAAATCTAGCAAGGAAAGTAGGATGAAGAGGGGAAGCGAGGAG